ATTTGTTTGTAGTTGGGTTTGGTAGCTTTGTGGGTCAAGCATTGCCAAATAATCCCAGAGGCCGTGGTTCAAGTCCCCAAATCCGTTTTATGTGTTGAGCCCATTTTGGGTGACCCTTACCAGGCTTTTCTAGGGATACCGCTAAAAACAGCATAAAATCATGCCATCATTCACTCACTCACTCTGAGAGGTCAACCTGCCACATCAAAGATCATTTTCCTTAAGATGTTACTCTTGAAATGAACATATCAAAATGAAAAAAAGATGAAACAGCATTTCTGATGTATGAAAATAAAAATTACAATTGGTCTTTGCAAAGTCAAGCCTTGAATAGATGACCAACAATTTTCACAAAAACTTGAGCACATTTTTTAACAAATAGTACATTAGTTGTAAATAAATAAGGATTGTTCACATTTACAGAGAAGGAGTCTATATTCTGTGAGTATCTTCATTGATGCAAATAGAATACTGTGACAGTGACAGTAGTTAACATTTCCTTTAACCAAATAAAACACAAATAAAACATCAATGATTTCTAAACTTGCACTTCAGATGTGTAGCAAAGAAGTGAGTGAGTGTGGTTATACTCTGTTTTTAGCAATATTCCAGTAATATCAAGGCAGGGGACATCAGAAATGGACATCACACATTGTACCCATGTCATGAATCAAACCTGGGTCTTCTGCGTGACAAGTTATTATTATTATTATTATAATCTATTTATATAGCGCCGAGTTCCAGCTGGGCTGCTCACAGACGCTTTGTTTTTCCCCTCGATCATAGGATGTCAGTGTCGATGGCACTTCGTATTATCAATCTCAACTCCCTTGGGGAGCATACAACTCCTGACGCTACCAGGCGCACGGAGTTAATGTGGCTTTCCCATCCTTACGAGGTACCCATTCACAGCTGGGTAGACTGGGACCCATTGTCACAGTACTTTGCTGATTACACAATGCCATTTAGAAAGTGGTTGCTGCGTTGCTGTACCAAAGTGCAACTCAGGTGTCGCATGTAGCTTTCATGTATTGTGTGTGGCCACCATCTGGTCGAATCCTGGACACCAACAGAATTTGTACGTAAGAAAGTTCTTTAAAGTGTACCCATAGCAACAGGGTTTTTGTGTACTGTACACTACGGGGGTTAAAGTGACAACACTGAAAGAGTCTGCACACAAAGCTGACTCCAAGGTTTATATGGGCCTGTTTTTACACCCGGTCACAGGTGGGCTTGATCCTGGCACCTCAAGTTCGCTGGATTACTAACCTGGCGCCTTAGCCAGCTCGCCCAGCTCGCCCAACGCACCCCAAGTGAACACTTTAACCATGTAGTAAAGGAAGTAACAAGTATTCATAAAAAGAATTTGGTAAAGCTTAACCCTAGAGGGATGAATATACAAGTTTATTTTAGAACTGACACAATAACTAGTGAGTCATGATATGTTGTCGCTTAAATAGCAGGCCAATCCTCCTTATATGGCTAATCTGCCACAAGCAACAACTATTCAATTAAATATCTTTTAAAAATGTTTTCAACCCTTAACAGTTTCAGGGCATAAGTATATCATCCCGTATCCCCTAGGAACCGGCTTCCTGGAAAAGGTTGTGTGCAACACATGTGTCCTCACCACTAGTTAGACACAAGGGAAGAGATAACATAAGAGTCCTTATTGTCCCTACTGGAAATGTCAAATCTTAAAGTTATGATAAACAAAAAGAAATTTTTATGTAAAAAAACATGCAAGTACTGAATTAAGTCTACCTTTCACATAAACTCATCTTAGCAAATTAATTTTGTTAATGGAAGCAAGTAGGATGGGATGGCAATATGACTATTAACCTTCCAGCACCTCACAGGCAAACTAGAACCATGTATGTAGTGCCATGCCCACTCACTTGAGTGGAATTTGGCCCAACATAATGACTGTTTTCTGTCTGTAAGGAAGTTGAATATTGGTATTCTCTTGTTTTGTTCAGTTTATTCAAGGTGTGTTGAGGGAGCCAAGTGGTTAAAGAGTTCGTTCATCACATCGAAGACACCTGTTTTATTACCCACATGGGTATTATGTGTAAGGCCCATTTCTGGTGTCCCCCGCTGCGATATTGTTGGAATATTGTTAAAAGAGGCATAAGAATAAAACACACTCACTCACTCACTCACTGGGTTTATTAATGAGAAATTGTCAAGAATCCAGACTTATTAAAAAATGGCTGAGGTAAGTTTGATTTGTTTAATATGTACCTGTTCATGTCGCAGCATGCATCCAAAATAGTAATTTTAGACATTTTCCACTTATTATTAACACATCACCTGATATAAATCAAAAATAATATCCCAATATGTATCTCATTTGTTATTTTCCTGAGATAAATATGAGTGATATTAGCCTACAAGCGCAACACCTGATATGATAACAATTCAAAGAATCCAATCATTCAGTCATATTCAATGTGCACATGTGGGATATATTAATTTTGACACTAGGTTAGTAAATGTTTTATTCCTCTGCAAAACGCATCACAAGGAATTTGAAATTGAGCCAAACAAAGCCTCGTCACTTGATCAAAATACAGTATTTCAACTCAGCTTCATCAAAATGGTTTCCTTTATTCAGACATCAGGATATTTCATATTATGAAATTCCTTCACAACTCCCTTATGCACACAGTGCATGACAATTAGATGATTGTTTGTCAGATCCTATTACTTTATTTTTCATGAAGTTTCTTCGGGAGAGCTGTCATTACGTCGATAGTGAACAACTTAAAGGCTGACATTTAAAAATCAACTTCACGTGACAAATGTCATTAATCATGCTACCATTGTATCAAATCTGTATCCTACAATCATTAGGCACTAGTTTAAATCATGTGGTGTATGAAATCAGATAATAGCAAAATCACATTACATGGCAAAAGATATTTTTGTTTCTGTCCAGACTCAGAGTCTGTTCACTGATTTTATGACTTGAAAGTATTTAAAGTAAAACTGATCATCCATATCAGGACAGAGGGACCCTTGGCCATACCACTTTACCACAGTATATGTAGTGTTCATATACTCATAGAAATGAATATGGGAACAGATGAAAGTACAAGTGTTCCTTTATTTATTTCCAGAATTTCACTCACATTGCAAGCATGCGAAGAAGCCTGAAAAAGAATATAGGAACACTTGTACTTTCATCTGTTCCCTTATTTGTTTCCATGAGTATATGAACACTACATATACTGTTCAGTGGTTTTGAAACAATCGAGTTGTTTACTCAGAGAGCTGACAATTGAAACTGGAGTCTGATCTGGGCAATAATGGCATTCTTTTGACATGATGGCCAGCATCGAACCTTAATACAAGTGACGATGATGGAGACGACGACGATGAAGATGATGACTAAGAGAACATGCTAATAAAGATGTAAACCAATAAGTCCTGTCCTATAAACATGGTATTTGAGTGACATGAAAACTATTTTTAGGCTTTGAAAAATAGAGGAATATGCACATTGCCCACGCGTGCAACAAGATAGTATTTGTACGACCAGCGGTCATTGATTGTTATCTCAGTGTGCTGACTATGCTGATTGTCATTCTGATAGGGCTCACTGACATGTATCAAGAAATATCTCATCCCTTTCTTCATAGTCGTTATTATGCACATCAAGTTGCTAGATCAGTTGATTTGGAGTATTCATATGAATTAAAATATTGAACATATATCCTGAAATACATTTTAGAATCAAAAATTCCTTTTTCTTCAAACATGCTTTTTTTAATTTTCATGTTCTAGATGGGGTAGCCTTGAGGTTAATGCTGGGTTCGATTCCCCACATGGGTACAATGTGTGAAGCCCATTTCTGGTGTCCCCCAGATATATTGCTGGAATATTGCCAAAAGCGGCATAAAACCATACTCACTCACTTGAGGTTAATGCATTTGCTTGTCATGCTGAAGATCAAGATTGGATTCCCTAGATTGGTACTATGTGTGAAGCCAAGAGGGTGTCCCGCTCTGTGATAATATTGCTAAAGATGGCATAAAACCTCACTCCCTCACTCATGTTTTAGTGAGAGAACTGAAGCAATTGATGAGGGAAGGGGTTGAATACAGTTGAATACAAACGGTCAGGGTAGGTAAACAGGGACCTCGGCACCAAAACTGACTGATTGAATGGTTATAAAGTATGGAGATTCAAAAGGATTTCTGTATATTGTACAACTTTATATTCAGGATTTTCCCAAATGATTGAGGGTCTTTCAAATCAGGCAATACAAGTTAGCTGCTCACTCCTCACCTTTGGAAACATTCCTGCAGCAGGTCAGGGGCCTGTGGATGTTTTAAGTTTTCACCAGGGAAACTAGTGGTTGATAGTAAGGGCAATAGTGCACATGAATGAGTGAGTTTAGTTTTATGCCACATTTACAATATTCCAGCAATATCATGGCAGAGGACACAAGAAATGGACTGCAAACATTGTACCCATGTGGGGACTTAAATCTAGATCTTTGGTTTGATGAGCAAACACTTTCACCACAAGGTTTCTCATCGCCCCTGTACCTGAATGGGTTGTGGAGTTAGTAAAGCATGTCATACATGCATATCCTCATTTTAGCATGCTTGAGTGTTGGTTACTGAGCACTTAGAAATGTTTATCAATTGTACATGCACAAAGGCATCTCTCTCACACACACACTCTCTCTTGTCTCTCACAGAGAGAGAGAGATCACAACTGTATGACACGACACTATCACTGACTAGAAATATAGAATATTATTAGTTCATATAAATAAACTCGTATTTCAGGCAAGGCCTACATTGAGCACACCTTGGTATGTTCAAAGTCGTCTGGTTATACGCTGGACTAAATGATATTATTCATACACTTGTATCTTCCAACATATTTTCACGGGGGCTTTAAGGTGGAAATCATAAGTTTAAAACACAAAAATATCAGATACTAATACGTGGATCTATTATGAATGCACTCCAACAAAACATTACCCCTTTTCCTTGGAGGTATCGCCAGGCTTGAAGATGACATCGTCGTTGTAGTTTTTCTCAGTCGCCCCCGAACTTAACAGGGGTGTTCTCTCTTCAGCGGTACCCATGTCTAATTGAAACACAGCTGACAAGTATGAACCGTATCACCACAACTGGCATTCACTTGACACTGTCACGTCTATGAAACAAGCGTTGATATTGCACCAGTCGGACCCTGTCATCCAGATAGCAGGGTATAGCGGCGTGATATTCTCCTCGTTATAAGGCGTATAACGGGGGCTGTTGTTTTGACGATGTTTTCCGAATGTGAACTCCTGGTTGACGGTCTCGAATGCGGATACGGGCTCGTCAAAAAATACACATGAGGTATTTCCCTCAAGTTTCAGATCCTTTGTTATATGTTTTATTAACCTGTCAACGATCGACCTTATTTGGTGATAAGAATTCGTTAATGGGTCAGCAGTGAGCAAGTGTAAACATGGATTTCCAGGTCGTGTCATATATACTCACATAATACAGAATGCGTTTTGTGTGCCAAGTGAAAGAGTACGTTATGATACTTTGTATTCTGTAAAAAGTACATATGTAGCAGTATGTTTGTAAGTAGTATATTGTTAGATTTTAATCATCATCATAGTAAACTTATATGAAGTAAATTAATAACCTAAACCTAAATATTTAATAACCTAAGCCTAGATATTTAAACTTTACTTTCCTTGATACCTGTGTTAACTTCAGCACTTGCACAAATCTACTAACTCATAGGTAAGCTGGGATAGTTCAGCCTTTTCATTGTATATAGGTTCATGGGTATTGTCACTCGGGCAGTCACAGGCTTGGCCTGTGATTAGGGTTTTATTGTTGTCTGGGGCCACACGATTGTTTTAGTCATGTGGAGTGACTGCTTCATACTTTTGCTGGTCAGTCAGCCTATTTCTCCTTTCTGCCAGTGAGCACATTCTTTGCACAAGATGACATAGGGTAAGTTCATTTATTACTGTATCCGGAATCTTAGGTTTGGTTATTATGTATTTTAAGCATTGTTATATATATGTAGTATTTTAGCTAGTAGTGTAGTATATGGTAAGGTAGGTTTAATTCAACTTACTTGTGTATTCAACAGAGGTATATGCCAAGTGTATTTCATAGGATATATATATATATACATTTTGTATGTGTAAACGGGTTAGAAGTATTCAATGTATCATGTATGTATGTATATTATTTTGGGAATGTATAATGTATTCTGTACATGGTAATGAAAGTGTACCATATCTGTTATCCTATATTTATATAGTATATTTATTTGTGCAGGGCTTAACACTATACATCAAGCACTCATTCCAGCCTGCGTCCCTGAGACGAGGTAATATATTTATGTTCAATTGCATGTGCATGATCTTTATATAAAGTGTAATATGTTTTATCTAAAGGGATTTGTAAAGTATACAGAAATGAACTGTAAATCTTAAAAGTAATATCGTTATCTTGTGTCTATGTATTGCCATGATATTTATGGTTGAATTGTGTATGTTTTAGGGCAGATCTGGGCTTCCATTTGTCCAAATAAATCCCTCGAACCCACTACAAGTACTCCCTTGTTTCTTGACATGACATGGGTACCGCGGTTACACATACAATAAGGGAGAATCTAATATTTAGTGATTTTACCCTTTGTAATCGGTTTTCAGCAACCCATGCTTGTCGTAAGAGGCGGCTAACGGGATCGGGTGGTCAGGCTCGCTGACTTGGACCGATTATTTACAGACCACCGCCATGTAGCTGGAATATTGCTGAGTGCGGCGTAAAACAACAAATAAAAAACAAAACAAATCCTTTTGAAATATGGAGATTCAGGAACGTATGCAGATCAATTAGGCTTCTTCCGAAAGCATATATATTTTCATCAGAAAAGATTTGCTGATCATTGAAAATTTTAAATGTCTGATATAATGTCACTGATTTAACGATATTCATCTGGCATGTATTTATAGTCGTCGACTATATAATCTTAAAGAGTGAGTGAGTTAAGATTTAGAGTAACATCGGCAATATTTCATCCATACCGTGACTAAAACAAGATATATATTAATAATAAATAAACGTATTCCTTAAAACGTGTCGACAAAGGACAGTAACACAACTAGATTATCACAGATAGAGACATTATACTAGCAAGTTACTTCAAATTTATACTATATATTGCAGGGCAATACAATATAAAAAACGCACCAAAGATCACCAGCAACTGGAGGTAGACCACCACACTATTGACCACTTTTGATACCTCCATGGAACCCAGTTACTACATCTTGAGATTTTGCAGTTAGGTTATTTTTACGCCGCACTCAGCAATATTCCAGCTATATGGTGGCGGTCTGTAAATAATCGAGTCTGGACCAGACAATCCAGTGATCAACAGCATGAGCATGGATCTGCGTAATTGGGAACCGATGACGTGTGTCAACCAAGTCAGCGAGCCTGACCACCCGATCCCGTTAGTCGTCTCTTACAAGCGTGGGTTGCTGAAGATGAAGATCTAACCCGGATCTTCACGGGTACTTGTTTCTTTATCTGCAAACCATTTTGATCATTCTGGTTGTATATATACAAAGGTTTAACAATACATCTTTCCCGAATGTAAACAAACACTTTTCAAATAGCACAAATATTCAGTTTTCACTGTAATCTTTAATATTTGGCAAAACAAGTTCTTAAACATACCAGCAAACCGCCAGAAACCCTTTCAGTCGAGTTCCTGGTTAGACATAGCACTTATGTTGTGAAAACATTTGCGAATAAAGTTCAAAATCTATTTCTGTCCACGTTTCTTAAAGATGAAATATGTCGAATGTATTCACATAACATAAAGTCATTATGACTGGCTTTATTTCGTAGTCCTGACAGTTCCATTTTTGGGGCGTTTAATCATGGGCTCCGTTTGAGCGAGCCGTCCGGTGATCCTATCTCGGTCCTAATCTTGCCTTGGTTCTTGATGTTGAAGGTGTGTTCGAGGTCCTTCTACGATCGTTTTTATTATCACTAGAATGGCTTTAGCTTTACTCTTCGCATCGGATTCGTGTTCTTTGCCTTCAGGAATTCCAATCATGATCACTTTATCTCTTCAACTAAAGATCTTTAATTTCTCCACTGGTTCGTCCAAAATATTCACTTGTGTTCTTTAAGTCGAACAGCGTTCTTCGACCTGAATCTGTATCAAGACGTAACATATGCTGATCCTCTGCTTACCAACATCGTCGTTCAGATTGGTGATAACGTCGCTGACGGAATACTGGGTACACGGTGGCGGATCTTACCAATTACAAAAACGACAGAAAAAAGCGGTTTACATCACTGTAGCACTTGGTCTTACGCATTATGACCGAGCTGAGTCACATATGACTTCACGAGAGTAAAAGTCCAAATCTAAGTACACTTAGGACCGTAGTGATTGGCGCCATCTATTGGCGAAGCGGTAAAGGGAGATAACTGAGGAATGTTCCCCATGTTTAATTCAATTTCGTGAGAGCTGGTGAAAACACGACCCCTCACACCAGACGCATAGATTATTTGCCATACCTGTTTGTTGCACTTAGCAAAGCTGTTGCAATATGACGTCAGCCTGAAAGTAACCGTGCCTGGAGCAGACAACCCTGTGACTGGTATCATGAACAGTGACAGCCCGTCTCGCAAACCATTACGGTGCATCAAGTCGACTCGTACAAGCATGGGATGAACAAAGACTTTAGCATATTGTACCCATAGGAAATATAACCAGGGTGTTCAGCTCAGCAGGAGGCGCTTAAACTTCCGGTCAACCATCGCATAGCACCGAAGATAGACACCTGGGAACCGTTCCTCGTACGTTGTTGGCGCTGATGTTATCGTAAATGACATACATTAACATACACTTACGACAGTTGTAGCGCAACGATTGCTATGAATGCATGTACGCGAGTGAGTGAGTTTAGTTTTACGCCGCTTTTAGCAATATTCCAGCAATATCACGACGGGGGACACCAGAGATGGGCTTCACACACTGTACCCATGTGTTGAATCGAACCCGGGTCTTCGGCGTGACGAGCGAACGCTTTAACCACTAGGCTACCCCACCGTATGTATGTGCGTACGTATGTGCAAATGAAACTTTATATATATCTGTGTGTGTCTGTGCATCTGAAAACCGTGTCTTCATTTACTGAGTCTGCATGTATTTCTCACATGTCTGTTGAAGGCAGCATTCCCTTTTGATGTAGAATTTTGACAACGCAAATACGTAACTGAGGGCATGAGCAATGACCCCAGCCATCAGTACGGAGTTACACACGGTCGAATCTCAGCTCGAACGACAAGCATATGTTTGAAGGGGCCAATAATATCCCACAATCACATGGGACGAGATCCAGATGCCGCTGTTGGTTGAGGCCTAACTGTGTCAATATAGACCATCAGGTGTGTATACCTACATATATGTCAATAGGCAGATATTCTTATCAAGTTTACAGTAAATATCCCTGTCTTGGTATTCCTTCACTGACCACATTTGCGCAATGCGGCAGTGTATGAGACGTGAGACGGAGAAGGTTCAACAACTATGATATACAAACAGTACATGATGGGATGGAAAATTACATTCCGTTTCGGGGTTCGAACTCCGTATCCTCAGTTCCAAGAATTGTTCACGACCTTCATTCGAAGAGAAAGTGTTGTAAAACTGCATTATGTGCATGAGTGGGTATCATGCTATTTCAAACATCAGATTAAAAGACATGACAATATCGGACAACTTTGACGCCATGGATCATAATTTGAGATTCGAGTTGATATGGAAACCAGTTGATATGGAAACGAATAAAAGGACGAAACTCTTTATTGCGAGTTCTGGATCACCAGTGCCACCAAACCGAGGTAAGTTCTCTTCTTAATTGACTGCAATCAATCTGTATTCCCTATATCAGGGATACCAAGTTACTGAATTACCCTCTTCAAATAGTGAGTGAATGAGTATGTTTTTACGCCGCTTTTAGCAATATCACGACAGGGTCCCCTCTTCAAATATGGAAACAGATTTGCGAATTTGACGGTGGTCAGTTCAATTAAATGATCATGCTGAATTTGATTTCACTGATGCTAGTCATTTGTTCTGTAGACAAACTGGCAATGGCGAATGTCCTGTCACAAGATACGCACATCCACGAGCCTGTCCATGTATATCATGTACAAAATCAATGAAAGACGCCCCCCATTACCCCTTCCCATATTTTTTAAGCATAGTTTTCAAATATATCTACGTACAAAATTGCTCCCCCACCCCACCCGAACACGTGTACAAAACTGATAACCCCCTACCTCCCCAGAACAAAATGGGTGACCCCCACCCCCCTAAAATATCCCTCTCACTCACTCACTCGACGCTGACGTGCATGTCTGTCGGGTTCATCCCACAAATCCTTGTCTATGCACTAATTTACTGTCACAATCCTATGAACCACCACCAAGTCAGATTTCCATGTTGAGGATATGGTTCCCCACACCATCACGCTTCAGCGACCCATTCTGCTGACCTGTCGAACGCAGCTCGGTGCAAAATATGCATTTCGACGTCGGTACATCTCGGCGTTGGAAAAGAAATCACGATTCATCACTGAACTAGACTTGCCGCAAGCTGCTCTTTTTTCATGCCTATACGTTGTTGCTCCCTCGCATTCGTTGTAATGGATACAGGGACATGTACCTTCTTAAACCAGGCAGGTGTTTTGCATTCTCGGAGCCATTGGTGGCATGTCGAGGATGAAAGACCTGTTGTTCAGGGGAGATAACTCTTAGTCTTCTATTTCTCGAACGGCCTTGGTTTGAACTCGGGCGGATACGCCGATCATGGGCCAGAAACGAGTAATGGTGCCGTGCTATACCTTTAAATGACATGCAACAACAGAATGGTGGTGATGCGATAGCCAGCGTTCTCGGCATCATCCCACTTACATTAAGTCGAAACGCGTGACAAAATGTTGACTGACGTTTGACCTTTGTCACTATACATGATTGTTTAATTTCCTTTCCATGACATTTTTGAGCAATCTAAAACCACAAAAGTTGCGTTTGTGCACTGCACCAATCAACGGAAATGTGACTAACATCCTTCAATCAAAATGCATTAGAATTGCGCCCACGATCCACCTCATAGAAGCTCAGAGCGCTAAGACATTATTATATTACACCGATTAACCCACGCTGCCTGTAGGCGCTAGAAGGTTAACAGTTATATGCCTATCTAATCCCATCGGGTACCCATTCACTGCTGGGCGAACAAAGGAAATTGTACCAAAGGAGAGACCACGTGTGGGGCGAGTCAGAGAAGCTCTCTCGAGTCAACCTGCCAAACACGGTCACCTATCCAAAGAGTCTTCGTGACCAACGTTGATTTGTGACCTGGTCTCTTTGCACACGACCCCATACCACCACGCGGTGTATAACACTTGCATTGGGTTGAGAGTCATATTTGACTTAGACACACACTGGCAGACATAAACTCAAGATTGTATCAATCATGGCATCAAAGATATACCTTTAACCACTAGGCTACAAGGAATTATTGTGAAACATTCTTAAAGAGGGTATTTTAACATCTTACGCCATGTTCCCAATACGTTC